AGGGAAAGTTGGGGTCTTGCAGGATTCCCTGGCACAGTTTTGTTTGTTTGTTTGTTTGTTTGTTTGGAAGGCCTCTGAGTGTCCTCAGGGATGAGGTTGAGGAGTGGAGAAACCCAGACCACTGGAGGAGGGGAACCCGGGAACAGGAACAGGGAACCCAGAAACCCAGAGCACAGCCTCCAGGGAAGTTCAGGACTGACTGACACTTGTTGGTACATCCACCATTTTACTCTGAAATGGGGCACTGGAGTTAAGTGATTTTATACTTTCAGTGGACCCAGATGCATAGACAACCTGAATTTACTAAAAATACTGTGGTGGAGTGAACTTTCTTTATACGGCTCTTCTACCCAAGTCTCTCTGACTCTCACCTAATGATTAGGTGGGATGAGGCAAACAGGGCATGTGGACCGTTAATAGAAGACATTGGTCAATTTTCATAACCACCCCCCTGGCTAGGAGGGTGAGACACCTTTGACATGGCAGCAGCGAGAGAAAGCACAGGCCCATTTGGAAGAATACGTCCAAGATCTCTGTCTGAAGTGGCAGATGTCACCGTAACTAGATGCACCAAAGACTGGGGTACCGTCCCTTCATCTGGCCCAACTCTGTGAAACTGTGGGACAGAGAGACAGGCAAGCTGGCTTTCTGGCCCCTGGAGGTAAAGGCCAAAGATTGAGAGACTGGGGATCAGCAAGAGATGTGGCTGCTGGCTGAGGACAGGTGTTGCTGCGGACCTATGGTGGCATCTTTACTGTTTTCCCATCTGTTGACTCCTCTAGTCAGTCCCCTTAAGTGTGAGTATTTCCTGGGAGCTCTTCTTGGCCATTGCGAGGACTTATTGAACCCAACATACAGAGCAGCGCAGGAGGAATGATTGGTGTCGGATTATATAAAGTAGGATGGGGAGTGGAGACCTGCCTGACTCCTGCCTTGTGGCAATAGGGAAGCCAGATACGTCCACCTCCAGTGCTGTTTTCTGAAAATACAAAATAGGCAAATGGATAGAGATCAGAAGAGGCATGGCACATCTTCTGCTTATTGTTGGAGACAAGTTGGCCACAGGAATCGGTGGTGGGTATGCAGTACGATGGATGTAATTGGTGTCGCTATTGTAATTGTGAAAAATGTTGAAACCCAAAATGTGATGTTACTTATATTTTATAGCAATTGAAAAAGAGAGTGTCAATCACAATTGTTTATTTAATTTTAATCAAATTTCCTGTGATTATATTTTAAAGAAAAGTAAGGGTCATATTTAAGTAATGTATTAACTTCTGAGTGAAAGTGGATAAAGGTGTGGAAGCACACTTTCTTTTCTGACCTGTGCTTTCCTGGGGTCTGAGTCCTGGTGGGTAGTGGTTACCTGTTAGCTGGTATTTGAAAGGTCAGCAGTTCGAAACCAGCAGCAGCTCCACAGGGGCTTTCTACTCCTCAAAAAGTTACAGTCTCAGAATCCCACGAGGGCAGTTCTATCCTGTCCTATCACTAGTGTCTCTCGGAGTTGGAATCAACTCCTTGGCAGTGAGATTGGTTTTGTTTGAGGAGAAAGGCTAGAGTTCCGGGGTCTGTCTTTCTTTCATTCCTATCTCCTCCTGTCGTCTCTGCCTTTAGATGTGCCCACCTTGCCCAGGACAACTTCTGCCAGCTTGTAACAAAGCATTGATGGCAAATCTGCCCTTTCTTATTTATTGTCCACACTGGATTCTTTTCTCTAGGGCTGACAAGCATGACTTTTCTCTCAACAATGAGGCAAATGCTGGATTTGCACGGAGGCCAATTTTGAACACCGTGTCCTAGATGGATTGAATTTTATATCCCCCAAATCTATGTCAGCTTGACTGGGCTGTGATTCTCAGAGGTTGAACAATTCTATAATGAAAAACCTTGGAAGTTAGTTCATGTTGTAATCATCTGCCATGATGTGAGCTGATGTGGTCAACCAATCAGTTGTCAGGGGATAAGTGAGGACCCTTATTCAGATCACAGTGCTAATTTAATGTCAACAGAGTTCCCTGTGGGTGTGGCTTGCATGACCTTTTATCTTTTGAGACCTCAAAAGAGAGAGAGGCAAGCAGAGAGAAGGAGCTAACTACCACTAAGCAAAACACAAGGATAGCTGGGAGTTGTGTGTGATCTTTGGACTAGGGGTCGCTCCACCGACAACCTCCTCGACCCAGGAGAAGATTGCGGTCAAGACACAAGGAGCACCAGGCCCACCTATCTTAATAGGAAATGAGCAGCTTCCTCCAGAGCCGATGCAGAAAGGAGGCTTCCCTGAATCCACATTTGGATTTTCAGCAGCTTAAAATGAGAGAGAAAACGTTGGTTTGTGAAAAGCATTAGATAAGGTTCGTTCCAACTCTGTGTTCCTGGACGTCATACTGGTAGCTCGAAAACCGCCATGGTGGAAGTACTCCCGTTGTGGGCATTGGAAACTGTGCAATCCGAAGTGCCCCCTCCCCCTCCCAGTCCCCTTTTCAAAAGAGCTGCATTGCTAGCAAGGTGATGTATTGGTAGCTAACCCCTACGAAGGTGGCCTGCGACGCTTTCTGAGTGAAAAGAGCTTGCAGAGATGCCCAGCTTCTGTCAACACTGTGCTCCTAAGAAGACTCATTAAATGAATCTGGAGAAGGGTTTTCCTTCGGGTCCTGTCTTTGTGAAATAAGGGAAATACTTTGGGAGGGCAGGTTAGTTCCTGGATGTGTGCAGATTGGAGCAGGGACACGCCTGGGACACATCTGTGCTCTTCTCTGATACCTGCCTGACCTTTCTCTCCCGGGCGGAGCCCTCTTTGCTGATGACTGGATTTGCATTCTCTGACTGATGAGGGAAGGCTTTTCAGTTGGTAGATTTGCCTTCTTTGCCTGGCTGTCAGGGAGCCCACAGAGTTAGTTTACTGAGAGTCTCTGCTGCTTTTAATCATTAGAAATTCTAATACATACCTCTCCCTTTATGTCTTATAACATGTCCTTGGTTTTATTTCAAGCAAGTTCAAAACCACTTAAGATGTTCTATCAGGAAGACCTAAGAAGAATTGATACATTTGAACTATGGTGCTGGTGACGAATACGGAAAGAACCACGGATGGTCAAAAGGACACACAGTACTGCCTTAGGAGAAGTACAGCTAGACTGCTCCGTAGAGGCCAGGACGGCGAGACTTCCTCTCATGTACTTTGGACACGTTGTCGGGAGAGACCAATCCCTGGAGAAGGACATCATGCTTGGTAAAGTAGATGGGCAGCAAAAAAATAGGAAATCCCAAGACAAGATGTACTGACACAGAGGCTCAAACACGAACATCTGTGAGGCTGGTGCAGCACTGCGCAGTGTAACATTCTGTTGTACACGGAGGACTGGCTGGGTGGCACCTAGCAACAGGGACAACCTCACTCCACTAATTAGTTGATCACATTTGGTTTCCAAAAGACTTGTCTTTACACTCTGCACATCAAGAGGAAAAGTTCTACCCTCGTCCCATTCTCTTCTTGCATTTCAAAGAGATAAGCCCTTAAAATAAAACATGCCTATACTTATAAGTAGATTCTTGCCTTTCCTCTTTGTATTTGGGAGACTACACTCTTTGTCTTGTTTATTAGATTGTCAACCTCTTTATTGTGTGTGCCATATTTAAATTTAATTGTGTATGATGTTTATTAAAGCTTGGCACTTGATAAATAAGGACAAGCGTGAGCCTGCTACACTGATGGGAAATCTTTCTTGTGGAAATGGCTTTCCAGGCAGGATACATCTACATTGATCAGCTAGATTTCTTACATATCCTACATCAATCCTTTAACCCTCTTGTGCGAATGCTATTAAGCCAATACATGTTTAACGACTTTGAAAACTTTCTGGATTTCAGTGCCTTAAGTGTGATATAATGACACCATATCTAAGGCAGTTTGCAATATTGTCATCTAGATGCTCAGTTCATTTTTCATAGTATTCAGGCAGAGGGAAAACGTAAAGGCAACAAATAAGTCATTCCCAAACTTGGGGTGCACAAGACTGTGGAGGTGCTAGCTGATGCCGCTGAGTCCTGCCATGGCTCCGGCTCTAGTCATTTTCTGTTCAGCACTCAGGCGCAGGAGCCCAACAATCTGTATTGTAAGCTAAAAGACTGATTCTAAGCTTGGGAATTGGTCAGTATTTCTGGCTGATAACAAAGAAACTTAATCTTGCAATGGCCCTAAAAATGGGTGGAGGAGGAAGGTAGTTAGTACATTTCTGAGGATGAGTTGCAATGGCTCATTTTGGATTCCTCAAAGGGAAGTGAGATTTGAATAATGGCTGAGGGCAGCAGGGATTGAAGATGACTGTAAAGTAATAAACAGGCGATGGGTTTCCTAATCTGGGTGCACCTCTGGGCACCACGATTGCTATTGGTTCATTCCAGCTGTCGCTCTCTCTCACGGAAAATTATTCATCTCAGGAACAGTGACTACGAGGTATTTATCTTTTGATCCACAGGGCCTTGTGAAGCATTATTCACATTAGAGATGACCAGCTAATAGACCAGGTGATGTATTCATTCCTTCTTTCATCCAGAGACTTACTGGATTCCTCCCAGGTATCAGGCACTGGTCTAGGGGCTGCAGCCACCGAGGTGACTAACATGACTGAAGGAAGAAGCAGATGCCCATCCAGCAGGCTGTGTGTCTGTCCACTGCAAAATGGAAGTATAATGTTGTCTTTGTGTCTCTCGGGGTGTTTTGAGGACGAAGAAGCTACTGTTTATGGAGTGGCTCAAGACTTTTTGAGAAAGGAATAGAAAAGAAGAATGTTATGGAGGTTTGAGAGAAAAGATCACATTTTATTGAACTGCGTTGTCCTTTTAGACTCTTCAATACGTTTGCTTAAGAGGAAGAGAAATCTCTGCAAAAATGCACTGGGATGGTATCAACTTGATAAACCTCGTGCCAGTCATTCCTGATCCCAAGCTATTGAACACTTGCAAACACACCGATTGTTTACTGAAGAGCTCTCAAACCCTACCTGACCTCCTGCTCGTCACTGCTCAGACCCACTCCGAACGTCTGGTGGATGTCGTAGCAGGAGTTGCTGTCTTCCAACAACCTAGAATGTGGTGACGACAGGAACCACACATAAGTTGACGGCCTTCCCAGACAGCCTGCTACCCATCATTCTCGTCTTGTCACCGTTGGAAGAAAAGGCTGGGCTTACCCAACTTTTTGAAACTGCTTCTCCACGTTGTCCCAAGCATAGCGGATTTTCTGCACTTGGACGCATCGCAGCTGCAATGACAAACACACTAGCACAGATGACATCCCCCGGGAGAACCCATGTCGCCCCACTTGCCATGCCTAGTTACAATTTCCGGTCTGACAGGGGGATACCGAGAAGCTCATCCGATGAATACTTATTCTCCCTTTGCGGAAACATGCCACTACAGCGCACGCTGAAACTCACTTACTTTTAATTCTGGCTTCAAAATCGCTTTGTTGATGACAGAGTGGGGGTCGGCCACCACAAGTTCTCCGGGGCTCTTGCTTATCGGAAAGCTCAGTGTTGATAAGTTGAAGCAGATCACCGGCTTCCTCATATATCGTTGAAATTCATCCTAGGAAACACAAGTCCGGGGCCTTCTCAAATGCTATCCGATATGGCACTCATCAATCAAACAGCCACCAAAGGCTATCCCAGTGGGATTGGGGATTCAGAGGAGAGCATCAGTGTCCCTTAGGAATGTGCTAGACACGTGTCTTTGGGGCCCTACCCTTAATTGCTTCTGAATCAGAAACAGAAGAGCTGTCCTTTGTAAGTCAAGCATGTTAAAATGGAAATTGTGAGAAACATTCAGAAGCAAGATTGTACATGTGCAACCTGTATTTTGACAGGCACTCCAGGTGACTGAGATTTTCCCTAATATTTGAGACCCACTCTGCTAGACCCGAAACAGGAAGGTATGTATTATGAACATTGTCTATATTTTTTTAAAGTGATTTCTGGCTATTTTGAAGTGGCATTTTTAAACAGAAGAAGAAGGAAAACACAGCAGCACACAAATGACTGCCATCTGAATAGAGTCTGACTTACGGGGCTCTCCCGTGCACGGCAGCTCTATTGTGCTCCACAGGGCTGGCCAGGGCAGACTTGTCAGAAGGAAATCAGCAGGCTTTACCCTGTGAGGTGCCTTTGAGGGGTGGGAGGGGGGCTCCAGCTTTGGGGTTAGAAGCCCAGCACATTAACTGTTTGCGCCACCCAGGAACATGTAGCTGTCAAGTGTTTAATTTCCCCCAAATGTATATTTCTGGAAAATTGGATGATCATTTGTGTGATAGGCCTGTAAGAGTCACGATGCTGACAGCCACCACTGTCCTTGGAGACTGCCAGGTTGGCCAATGAACTGACAGGTCCGACATTTCTCCGGGGTGATATGGAGGAAGTTTTCTAGCTTGCTGGTCACAGATGGTATATCAAATTCTCCCTGCAGTCTGCTTACCATCACTTTTCTCTTAGATTGGGGAAACGCTTCAAACAGAGGGAGATCTAGCTTCTGGAATGTGGCCAGTCTCCAGTTGTGACACAGATAGAACATGAAAGAGATGTTGATGCCTTATACCTGATCCCTTCAACACCTGGTGGTTGCATAGGCTGGTGTGCTTCTTCCGAACAAAAAATCTTACCATAGTGAATGATGGGGGGAGTGCGGAGTGGAGATCCAAAGCCCATGAGTAGGCCACTGGAGATCCCCTTGCAGAGGGGTCTCAGGGAGGAGATGAGCCAGTCAGGGTGCGATGTAACAATGATGAAAAATACAACTTTCCTCTAGTTCCTAAATGTTTCCTCTCCGCTCCCACTACCATGACTCGAATTCGATCTTGCAAGTCTGGTTAGACCAGAGGATGTACACTGGTACAGATAGGAACTGAAAATACAGGGAATCCAGGGTGGATGATCCCTACAGGACCAGTGGTGTGAGTGGCGAAACAGAGAGGGTAGAGGGAGAATGGGTAGGAAAGAGGGAACCGATTACAAGGAACTATATGTGACCTCCTCCCTGGGGGATGGACAACCGAAAAGTGGGTGAAGGGAGACGTCGGACAGGGCAAGATATGACAAAATAACAATTTATAAATTATCAAGGGCTCATGAGGGAGGGGGGAGCTCGGAGGGCGGGGGAAAAATGAGGACCTAATGCTGGGGGTTTAAGTGGAGAGGAAATGTTTTGAGAATGATGAGGGCAATGAATGTACAAATGTGCTTTACACAATTGATGTGTGTATGGATTGTGATAAGAGTTGTATGAGCCCCTAATAAAATGATTAAAAAAAAAAGAAAAAAGAAAGACATGTTGATGGCATTTGCAAATGGTTACAGAGGGGCACCCACCGTTGTCCTCAGCAAAACCGTGTCTGCTTCCTGCAAGGAGCAGGGCGTGCAGCAGGCCCACACTCTCCACTGGGGCCTCCAGTAGAACACCAGCGCAAGGACCCCACAGGTCAACACGGATGCTATCAAACACAGGGCACGCCGGAGCATCTGACTGCGGTACCCAAACACCTCCTGGAAAGGACACAAAAGATCATTGTCATGCTCTTCATTTCACATAAGCCCGTGGCTTTGTTTCAAGAAACACAACTTAGTGATGCAATGGTGTCAGTCAAGGGAAACGTCTGGTTTCAGCTGGTTGAATCAGATCGACTGCTTGCATGCCTGCAGCTGTCAGCTGATAGCATTTCTTTTTAAGATCCATTTTACTCTCTCACAGATAGAATGGAGACATTACATAAGAGGACCAATAGGGTGGGAAGGCTCACTTGAGTCACCTCAAATTCTTTTAAGATATCACACGTTTGGAAAGATGTAGACTCTCCCACGTTTATCGCAGCACAGGTCATGATAGCAAGAAGCTGGAAACAACCTGTTTGCCCCGCAGCGGAAGAATGGATAAAGAAATTCTGGTACATCCACACAATGGAATACTATGCACCCCTAAAAAACAATGATGACAGCGTGAAACACCGCATGACATGGAAGGACCTGGAAACCATTACACCGAGTGAAGTTGGTCAATTGCAAAAGGACACATACTGTGTGAGCCCACTACTATAAGGAAAACCACAAGACATAGGCAGTCCTCTGCTCTTGGGTCATGTAAACTTCTCATCCAGTCTCCCAAACAAAGATGTAGAGAGCCTGCTTAGCACACATGAGCCACCTATCACCCTTCTTGACACCCACTTCAAAAGAGGGTCCCTCACCTCAGCTGGGTCACTCCTTCAGGAAGGAGGAAAAAGGAGATGAAACTGTATGTGCTGCCATAAAACATTGTGATACGTTAGTGTCAAATTAAGGTATTCCTACAAGAGTGATGAGGGAACCTTACTGAAAAGTCAGGTCAAGATAGGGGGATGGGAATATCTACCTTTCAAAAGAGGTATTCTGCTGATGAGAAAACAGGGAGGAGCGAAATTGAAGTCAAGGTGTGTATGTGTGTGTGTGTGTGTGTGTGTAACACGTAACATTGTTTATATAAAACCCAAGAGGAGAATAAGCAAATAAGCCCCATACTATGTTCCCCATTTTGACCTAGCTTCTATCCAGCCCTTGGTAATGCATGGGCTATATACATACTGCTGTGACTTTAGACTGTCTCCTTTCAAAGAACACAACATCCTTCATAAGCCACACCCAAAGGACTCAGTGTGGAAATCCCACTGAATGGACTGGGCTTTCCCTCAGACTTACCTGGCGCCCTTGAGCTTTAGACTGAAACTCCCTGGGATGAGAAGAAGCAGACGACTGCCACCCCAGGGCTGTGGAGTTGGCAGTCGCTGGCTTTGCTTAGGATCCTTGCTCTGTGAGTGCTCAGTGAAGGTGGCCAGGGACCATCATATATTTACTATTTTAATGCCCTCCTGGCTTTATTATGATGTGTGTTGATCTGACGGGCCTGGTTCTACCCTTGTGAATAATGAACATTACTGGGAATCTTCCCCTATCACCAACCCACATGGTCAGTGATAACTGAAAATTTGAGTCCACAGAAAAGTGTGGTAAAGAAAGCAGATGGTGCCTAGCTATCAGAATAGCATTTGGGGTCTTAAAGGCTTACAAACAGCCATGTAAGGGAGGCATCAAGTAAGTGTGAACCAGGGGTGACAAACATAAAATCTGAATCTGAAGGAGGGAATGATATCAGAGCTTAAATTGTGAACCCCAATTTTCAGAAGACTATGGAGCACAGTGAGAGCCTGCAATCCATTTGCGGCATCCCTATGTGGATTAAGCCTCTGGTGAATTCCCTCTGCTCATAGTCAAGGGATATGAATAACTGCTATCCAGCAGAGTATTATACATTTGAAGAGGTCAGGTATAATTAGGTTGAACTGTCACATCTGATCATTTGATCTCCCTTTTGACCCATTTTAAATTTGCTCTAGTTTTTAATTTTCCTCAGTTGAGGTTTATCGCCCCTTTGGCTTGTTTTGATATTGTTGTTGTTGTATTTTCACTGTGAGTGTGTGTGTGTGTGTGTGTTTTCTAGTATATGAAAGCTAGGATAGGCAAATCTAGAGGGACAGTAACTGGTGCAATGGCTTATTGAGAATATGGGAGGGGAGGTTGGAAGGAACTGTGGAGCCTATAATGAATGCATGAAGGAAGAAAATGTCCTAGAACTGACTGTACTGATGATTTACAAGGCTTTACATTATGACTAACCTATAGAGGTATGTGATATATGAATTATATCTCAATAAAATGATTTTTTAAAATCTCATCTTTTTCACCAGATTTACTTTTTAAGTATCAGGTTTGAAATATACATATATATTCATATGAATTTACTGGAGAAATATGATGAGAATATGAGAGGTATAGTCTATACACATATCCTAGCTTTATGTGAGTTTAGCCTTGTTTCAAAATAGCATGGTTGAGAATGATTAAAATATAAATAAGTGTAGAATTTTCTAAAACAGAAAGATGATATATATTTAGGAATTGTCCTCAGACATGAAAAACTTTCCAAAGACAGACAGATTGCAGGAGAGGAGAGGGGAGACAGGGAGAGGGAGGCAGATGTTTACCCTGAGAGTAATATTTGTATTTTTGGTAGTAGGTTAGTTAATATTCATCGTAATTTGAATAAAGAGTTGAGATGTGGTTCTAAGAAAAATCAAAAGGTCTGAGAAATGGATTGGTTTATTTAAAGCCCATTTCTATTTCCCATCCTTTGCAACGACATTTCACAGCATTAACTTTGAGGATTTGAAGGTGAGATTTGGGAATACATTTTGAATGCGCCAACCCTGCTGAATGAATGAAACTTATTATTTTAGGTTTCGCTGGTCGCGTTCCTGGTTTTTTCCTCATGTCTTCAAATTCCCATGTCCTGATCGTAGAGCCATAATGTCAGGAAAATAATAGTGTTTGTTTGTCTGTCTGCTGTGTGTCTTAGCACTCTCAATGATGCACTTTCCTGCCAGCGTAATTCATGTTGAATCAAATCTCTTACTTCGTGGACAACTTTGTGGCTTACTTCTTGGGACAGTCTTCATCAGTCCAAAGAGGGTCTCTTTATTAATTTTTCTCTAACAAAGGGTGTTCTGTTGCAGATCAAGGTTGCAATTGAGAGTGCTCAGCACAAGTACTGGAAAGGACACGCAAAGGGTCAAGCAGCAGACAGGATCTGTTGGAGACACTGTTCAGCCTGTAACCAGATATGTGACATTAGATCCGTGAGATCACCTCTGGGGGTCTCCAGCTTCTTCTTGGGCAAAACAGGATTAGAATGATGTGTCTTACAGGGAGTAGTGCTCAAATGAGATCGTGTCTGTTCAGCATTTTGAAAATTCCAATGATAAGAACTCATTGCCACTGCGCCTCACCACCATCACCCGCTGGGGAAATGTTAATAAAACGTCTTGACGGATTCAGGCTCTGTTTTGAGGTTATCCCAGATAAGGTTGACCTGTACCTAAGAGAATGTGTTTTACTCTGGTTTTTGGAGTATTTTCAGTTGCAGCTCCTCTCTTCCCAGTTCCCATTTTTTTCGACAAACCCCTTGCAGTTTTATTTGGGGATTGCTGCTTTATCCAACCCAAATAAAATGCATATATCAGTTCACATATTTATGAACATTTGTCATATGCCTCATTCTACTGAGCACTGTTTACAGAAGCTATTGCCAAAGCTCAAATGTGTGCATAATAGAAACAGAAATCATTGTTGAGTATCTTTCACTAAATGATATTTAATAATCAGATCCCCGCCCCCGAAATCAGCAAGTTACAGAAACTAACTAAATTGGCTTAAGTGACAAATTCCTGGAATTATAGCCCAAAATTTTAAAGTTTGAATTTTTTAAAGCTACACATGAAACATTTATATCATATTCTGGACCATGTGGTATGAAGACATTATAACTTAACTAGACATTAGCAATGGGATTTGAACTTTAAAATCTCCAAATGTTTGAAAACTAAGAAAACATTCCTATACATGTGTGACTCAAATAAGAAGCTACATGGACATTAGAAAATATTTTTAATGGAATGAAAATAAAAATATGATAGATAAAAATTTACAGGATGCAGCTAAGGCAGTGCTTAGGGAGAAATGTGCAGTTTTGCGTGCACATGATAGAAAGGTTGGGGGGAGCAAACATGCACCTCAGAAAGATATAGATGGACCAATGAAGCACAATGAAAGACTGAGAAAAAATATCAAGCATAAAAGCTGAAATTAAAATAGAAATAAGCAGAATTAAATTAAATAAAGAAGAAAGAAACAAAATGAATAGAAAAACAGAAATAAAATAGAAATTTGACACACAACAGAGACAATCAACAAAGGTAAAATTGACAAACATGAAAGGTTGATAAATTCATAAGAAATTTGGATCTCTTGTGGTTATGAATGAAAACTTATGCATACTTAAGCCCGTCCCACAAATAAATCTTCAAAACCAAAAGATGTGTGAAAACTTTAAAGCATTTAAGGTAGAAATGATACCAGTCTTTCGCCAACACTTTCATAAACAGAGGAGTTGAGAAAGTCCCCAACTTGTTTCATAAAATCAGCATAGTCTGATACCCAAATCTGAAAGGGTATGAAAACAAAGAAAAATTACAGACTACTGTCATTCCTGAATATAAATACAATAATCCTAAGATATTTGACAGAATTAATTTACTGGTAGATTAAAAGAATTCATCAGTACCAAATGAGATTGATTCCAGGCATGCAAGAATTTTAAAAACAACAAATCCAGTTTACCACGTTAACATACTTCTCAAAACTCACTGCCATTGGGTTGATTCCAATTCCGAGTGACCCCATAGGTCTGAGTAGAACTGTCCCTGTGGGCTTCTGAGATGGTGTAGTGGTCATGCATTGGGCTCCAAGCTCAAGGTCAGCAATTAGAAATGACCAACCTCATCTTCCCCCCACCCCCAAATAGCAGCTGGCAGTCTCAAGCTGCAGACTTGTGGTTAGCACCCCAACAATATCCAATCCTCAAACTTTCTCTGCTATCAAGTTGATTCCAGCATCACTAC